AACACCTCAGCGATCCTAGTCATCTCTGGTCATCCTGTTAGATCAAGGCCTATCAAGGTGCCACATAGCCTCCTTCTAGAAGCAAACCATTTGTATCTGATCTCCTCGAGATCACGACATACGCCAATGGATCTTATCTTCACCCAATCAATTCGGACGGACCTACATAAGCCTTATTAGCTTATTCGGAGTCCATCTTCGGGTGCAAAGCTAATTCCAGATTAGATGAACTGGTGATTTTGGACATGCATCATGAGGCCTACGACAGCTTGCCTATATAAAAGCTTCGCCTCAAGCCTCACAAGATATGTGTAATTTGGCTCTGGCATTCTCTTACTCTCGTGCTATCAATTCTCTTTTAATCTCTATTGCTAACTTGAACATTAGAAGTGCCAACACCAGATAAAACGTCCCATAACACTTTAATTCTCTTATAGCAAGGAGCATTTATATCGTGCATCATCAAATTTATTGACAGCAAATCCAGAGAGTTGAAGCTGAGGTGTTTCTGTTTTGTACTTGTGGACCCAATTCTTGGTCACCATGGAACTTGATGAGGTTCGCAGTTGACATGTTGTGGGCCATCACTTGAGAAATAATACAGTTGGACACATTAGCGGCTAGCGGTAACCATTAAATGAAAACGATGGTCACAACATGCAAACCTCATTATCCTGCTTCATCAGTTCGACACACTTTGGATAAGCTATTTAAAAGGAGGCCAACGCCGACGCAGACATATAGAAAATGACCAGTTAACATCAGATTTGGTCTTTTCAGATTTTTTTACCAATTATATAGCTAAAAAGCTGTTCCTGTTGTGACCAATTTAGAAAGCCCACTATGCTTAGTGCCTGTTTACGAGGACTTTCCCACAAGCTTATATCTTTGCATGGTAAACCCTAAATGAAAAGCCTTTTGCTAGAAGATATAATATTGGGTGAAGAAGAAAAAACTAAAAAGTCTACATATATTTTCCTTCAATCAAAAGAAATTGACTTTTTGATAAAACTAATTTTAATAGCTTTTTCGAAACGTCTTAAGCACAGCCCCTCAAGTAAAGCAGAAGCCCTCCCAAATGGGCCATAATTTGCATAACCTACAGAGGAAGGCACTACACGTCTTTCCTACAAGGCTACAACATCTCTGGCAGGGGTTCAAACGGTGGACAGCACCAGAGGCCCTGAATTCACCCCGCCACTAAACCTCACCAACCCAATAATTAAGTTTAGCTTACGCCGCATAGCACCTTGTCCCTAGCTATGAGGCCAAAGCTGCATTGGAATACAACAATGCCTCTTTTATTATTATTTTTGATTGATTGATAGGGTGCATAAGTATTTATTTATGTGTCACAAGCTATACTTTCTTCACAAGTTATGATAACTACTTAAACCCTTCTCCACTTGTGGATGCATGTGTAGGGCAGTAGGGCCCTGCCCTATACGTTTTTTGAACATTTGATAGAGCTCTGAATGTTCCTCTAGCTGAATCTCATATTACAGAGGCTCGAAGTTGTAAATTCCCTGTTGGACAACCATCTAGTTATCCCTTGGCGGTTGTTTTCCATTGTTACTAATTGTAGGGACCTTTTGAACATGGTTTTTAAAAATGAACCGGTGACCGAATCGCTTAGGAGTCTGGTTATTGGTTTGAACGGTTTGGCTGTTCGACTCAAAATGGTCAGTCTGTTTTAATAAAAAAATAAAAAAATAGAAAACAGTTAAAATCTTTTGAATGATTAATCAGTCGGTTCAACGATTTTAGGGGAAAAAGCGGATTTGGGGGAAAACGGAACAGGTCAAGAGACCGATTCCTGGTTTTTCTGGTCCAGTCCACTTTTGAAAACCATGTTTTTGAAGGATTAGGCAATAAAACTGTTCATCTAATTGCAAAATTTGCTTGTAATATCTTCAGGACCTTAACTTCCTCATTCCCAAAAGATTTTCTCATATTTGTACTCATGCATGATGTTAATGAATGAAATGCCTACCCGTGCCTACGGGCTTTTTAAAAAATATATATAAAAATGTGAAAAAAAAAAACAGTTAGGTTTTAGAATTTATAAAGGCAAAAGAGGGATAAATGTAGCATGTAGAGGGTGAACATGTAAGACAAATTGATGAGGAGAATTAGTTGTTGAAGCCCCAAGAGCAAACCCAATTCCCTTAGCTTTGGGTTTTAGTCCGTATCAAGAACAAGAAACTAGGCCAAATCTTTGGCCTAATTTTCAATCCAAATCCCTTCTTACAAGAAACCAGTAAGTGGTCATCATAACTTCACAGCCAACTGATAAATAGGTTTATAGGCCCCATAGATATTTGTTGAGATAGGAATTGAAAAGTGAAATACCGAAAAGATTCTAAATTTACAAGTCTGTAATATAATTCAGCGTTTCATCAATTGGATACCCACTTTATTGTTGAAGAATGAAAGCAAATAGCTTTGGAATTGTGGAGTTATGCCGCTGAAATAATCACATGACTTATTAGAGAGTTACAGTTTGTCATCCAATCATCCAGTTTCTACTTTCTTGCATTATTTCCAATGGTCTACGGTGTCTGAGTTTCTATGAAACGTAATCTACTGAAGCGTGGGTCCCAAACCTCGTTGACAAATTAGGTGGCAGACCGTTCAAAGAATGGTTTATCATGTATGTCCCCAAAACCATAGCTTTTTCACCGCTTAACTTGCCACGATTTCCGCTTGGGTTCTTCTGGTCCTCATGCTGACGGCAAATGTCAACCTGTTGGGAGACCGGATCTGCACCTCACATATCACACAAGTATTTTTTTATACTTGTGTTATTATTTATGGGAGATGTTTTAATACATGGTCTTAGGTGTTTTATGTGAGAAGCAGATCCCAATTCTTAGGTCGGTGATAAATGGGTTTACTAGCGATTAGTCCGAAATTTAAAGTTGCATTCATTAAAAGGCCATAGGCCATGGCAAAGCCCCAAAAGTAATTCTAGTATCTTATACTTTAATTCTAGTTTCACTTTGGTTTTTGAATTTTAAAACTTGTTAATGCGGTACTTAAACTTTTAAAGCATGTCAACGAGTATGAAAACTTGTCAATCCACTACCTAAATTTTCAAAACATATCAACTCGGTACTTACTATTTAATAAGCTGTTAAATGGCATGTGAAAAGACATAAATGCCTTTTGGGTGTTATCTAATTATCTCTGCCTTTTTCATTTAAATGTTCATCATTTAGAGGAAGAAAATGATGAATAGTATTTTATTTTGAAAGATAGTTTTAACATCTTCAAAAGTTTTAAATTGTACAGAATGTCAAGTGATATATTTGAGAACCAAAGTAAAACTAGGCTCAAAATATAGGATACTAATATGCAATTTTCCATAAGGCTGAGTTTGGAAGGAGAACAAATACAAATATGTAAAGTGCAAAGCTATGAATTTTGTATTATATTGTATGTATTTGTAATGTATATATTTCTATTTGTACTCCTTCCAAACTTAGCCTAAGGCTTAGTTTGAAAGGTGTATAAATACAAATTTGTAGAGTGAAAAGCCTTATATTTTATATTATTTTGTTTATATTTGTACTATACACAACTCAGTTTGAAAAGAGTATAAATATAAATATATAGAGTACAAAACTTTATATTTTGTATTATTTTTTATGTATTTATATTGTACATATTTGCATTTGTATTATTTCCAAATTGAACTTGGATCAATTTAGAATGAATACAAATATAAATATGTAGAGTGCAAAACCCTGTATTTTGTACTATTTTCTATGTATTTATAATTGTACTTTTTTTAATGGAGCCTAAGGCTGTGTTTGGTTTCTGTGCAATTTTATTCGCACTAATATAAATGCATGAGAGTGGTTATAAAGAAAATGCATATTCTAGTTTAATTTTGTTTTGGGTTACTTTATTTTGCATCATGTCTTAATTTAGTTCATTTGAACTGCAATCAAACAAAATAAGTTAAAATTTGAAACAAAGATGGGTCAGAATTTACACTTGAGTCATTTGTTATGGCTGCGTTCGGAAAAGATGCAAATGGAGTGTAAATCCCGGTTCAGGGTAAATTTACACTTTGATTCACTTTTGCTTGTGTTTGACAACATTACATTTTTACATTGATAAATGACTGACCAATACACATTTACATTGATAATAAGATATAAAAGTACATCAATAAAAAGAGAAGTAAATTTGCATTCAAGTGGGCTTTTGACAAAAAAAAATATATATATATATATATATACTTTATTAGAATTGGTATTTAGATCTATTACAATTAAAAATCTGTTTGATAAAAAGATAAATTTATTAATACAAAACTAATCCAACTTTATAATTTATATAAACTATTTTACATTATATATAATTGCATTCACACATATTTGTATCGTTTCCAAACGCAGCCTATAATTTTGCACCAAACAGGGATAAAGGATAACAATTGGCAGTTGGCATGTGCGAGAAAAATGAGGATATCGTGGAAAGGAAAATATAAGGGACAAATGGAGATGACACTCACTCCTCTGGATAAGGGCGATTCATTTGTCGGTAACGTAGTAATTAATAAAGACATGTTCACTCAAACCCGCGAGTCTTCAAGATTTTTATCATGTAGGCCCAGCCCAACTATAAGGGTGATGATTTTGATCCATTACTCAATTGGTCCAAAAATTCCATTCCCCTACTTTTGGCCTATGAACGACAGAACGAGGAACACGTTGGGGTCCACGCCGTTCACTCGGCGAGACCGCTCCCGCTTGTCTAATTACTCAAAATTCAAAAGTGTGGTATGGTAAATTTGCGTAACTGCTGGCGACTGGCGAGGGCATTTACGATAGGCTGTGTTTGGTTTGAAAGGAAAAAAAAAGGGTAGGAAACAGAATAGGGGTAATTTAGATATTTCATGCTAGGCTCCTTCTTTTACGGTTGGCTCGATCTAAATCCGTGTGGCGTGGCGTAGCGTAGCGTGTGCTTTCTTCCTATAAATGCGGTCTCTGACCTCCCTCGGTTTTCAGTTTTCTGTATAGGCAGAGATAGAGAGAGAGACGAGTAGCAAAGATGAAAACCGACTCGCTTCTTCTTCCTCTTCTTCTCATGGTTGCCTTCCTTTTCTTCTTCAATGGAACGTCTGGCAACGCTGTTGGTAGGAGGTCGCTTATCCCGGGGGGTTGGCAACCTATAAAAGATGTGCGGGACGCACATGTGAAAGAGATCGCCCAGTTCGCCGTCACCGAGCACAACAAGGAGGCGAAGACTAATCTCAAGTTCCAGAAGGTGATCCGGGGGGAGTCCCAAGTTGTGGCCGGCACCAATTATCGCCTTATACTGGCGGCAAAGGATGGGCGTGCTAGCAGCAAGTACGAAGCCGTCGTGTGGGAGAAGCCTTGGGAGAGTTTTAGGAACCTCACATCTTTCAAACGTGTCTGAGATCCTACCATGTTCTTGGTGAGTAGGGTAGACTTAATAAGCGGCTAAGTGTCTATGTTGTGTTGTTGTACAATATCCGCATTGCAGAAATTGGACGATTTCTCAGATCTAGTTTGGGTTTTATGATATTTTGTTATTAGATATTTATATTGTCTTAATATGTTTTTTTGCTACTTGGTAATGCCAAACGGGTCTTCTGTAGCTTTGTAATAGCGCCAAATCGCCGATCTGTTGTTCGACCTAAAGCCCCTGTGATAACTCAGTAGCACCCCTTAATCTAAATTTTGAATGGGAAAGATATACGTTAATTGTTTTTGGAAAGGAGAAGGGGAAGGAAGATTTAAGGAGAAAACGATGGCATCATAGTGGAATCCAAATTTTGCGTAAATGATTATGCAAACGGCCCAATCCGCAGCGAGAAATGGGCCTCAGCCATCGAAGCATTACGAGGGAGGGGCTATGGCATCGTAGACCAGATTGTTTACCAATGAATTAGCAAGATAAGGTTAGCTGAACTCATAATTGTTCAGCATGCTGTAGAACCAATGATAAGGCCCACATCGGTCATTGAATACAATGGGCCTACAACCATTTACTGTGGGTATGACTGACTGGTATAGAAATGATCATTGGTTTCGCTGCCCGCTGCCTGCCCTGTGAAAAAAGGTAGAGAAAGGAAGGCGAAGGGAGGTCCTTCCCAGTTTCCAATGTGCAGAGACTTAAATCGTTTCCTTTGCATCCGTCTTGATGATGACTTGTTGAGCGCCCCAACTCCAGGCATTTTTTTTTTCTTTAGGTAATTTGAGTTCAATTTTCCCCAGAAGTCAGAATTTCTAATTTAAGGGCAAAGATTCTAATTTGTGCACTTGTTCGAATAAACACAAAGAAGTGTCCTTTCCCGCACCTAGCCCGATTCATGCGTGTGAAAAGCACCCCAATCCCCTCACATACATGTGAATCTCAATAGTGTCTGCAAATCTATAGATATACTCTAATTCAATTTCTTTCCCAAAAAGAAAATAAGGGAGGGAGAAGAGATTATTGAAATTTTGAATTTTTTTCCAACTATTGTATTTAGGGGGAGGGATTGTGCCTAAATACATTTATAGGCATTCAATTAAACCGTTAGCTTGTAGTGTCCTTCAATTGTGATGTCTAAATAGCCTAGTTCTTTTGTCATGCGATGGACTTCTATACAGATCCTCATGTCTATCACTAATATCAAACTCTTACCTTTCGGTCCTGCCACAATTTTAAGAGTTTCTCCAGTGGAATTCTTTGCAATACATCCATATGCACAATCTTTATTATCTTTTCTCGAGGCACCAAAATTGATTTTGATTCCTCTTGGGTCTAGGGGTTTCATTTCACCCTATTAAAGGGAAAACGACCAGACATATCAACTGAAAAGAGTTGTTTGTTTGAAAGATCAGTGTGAATCATGAGAGAATAGAATGGGGTCTCTCGAAGTCAGAAAGGACGGTAGAGCTGAAAGAGAGAATGGAGAGAGATAGGGAGAGGGGTCGCATGGAGTCGTAAATGACGACGGCATCGGAAATGACAACGGAGTCAGGAGAGAGAGAGGGGAAGACAGAGCTATTGCTTTGATCGAGTTTTACATTAAAAAAGTTGATGTATTACACCGATTATCAAAATAAAAAAATTTCTAATATGAAATTTTACACCAATATTCGATGTACTTTTACACTCCATCCTGAATGGCCACAAAATTGAATTGGAGTGTAAAAATACACCCACCGAACCAGCTTTTACACCGCATCCAAATGCAGCCTAATGCTGTTGCTCCCTTTCATTTTTAAGAGCATCGTAGGTGGGATTTAACTGAAACAATCCCATCAGGGAGAATTATTGCCTTAATTTTCTGTTCTATTTCATGCCCGAACAGACTTGCAACTTTTTTATCATCCATTTGTTTGAATTGGGTATTGATAATTTTCTCAACTTTTCTGGTGTCAGTGTCCTTAATTTTGATTTGGGTGCAAATTTTTAGTGGGGTTTTAGTGACCCAATTATCCACCCACAAATTACAGGATTTACCATTACCTATTTTCCATCTTATGCATTTTTTCAAGTTATTTCTCTGGTCGCATTCCTTTTCACGAGGTATTTTTCTTTCTTTATTCCAAGGAAATCTCTTCCTCTTACATATTTAGCTTTTTACTGTTTTAGTCCACAAGTTATCTTTCACCTTTAGGATTTTCCATCCTATCTAGTGTTAGAATATTGGCTTAATTCCATTTTTCTTATTCCTAGCTCACAATTTGCTTTTTTCATATAGACATTGGTGATGTTTGATACCGTTTATGTTTATTCAGTAAATATTTATTGATGGTGCTACATAGGTGTCATTTCAGCATTTTCTCTCTCTTGTTCTTTTTCATACATTGAAAATCTAAAAAGTAAACTTTGGTTTATGTGCATACCAGCCATTTGTAGAAGTTATTTTTTGAAGCTTCCACAAAGGCCAATCATTTATTCACTATTACGCTGAAGTGGCGCTTAGTGGCACCCAATTGTCATAAATGGTTGCAATTATTGCATTTCTCGGTTTTACCAATAAATAAAGTACAAACGTTTATTCAATAAACATAAACGGTACCAAACATATACATTATCCCACTTCTTTAGGCAAAAAGGTTTTTTTTTTTTTGTCTTTCTTATTTCCCCATATTTTTTTGGCAGAATGACGGTTCAGCCTAGGGTCAGAACTTGTGGGCTCAAAGTATTGTCGGGGTAGGTGCCAACTTGGAATTGATGCCAATTCACGGACAAGCATTGGTGCGTACTGCATAGAGTGTGGGTTGTTGACCTTTTGAATGTTTATAGCTCTGCAGTGGAAATCAGAAATTTGCATTGGGCAAATCCATACTTCTTCGTATATTTTTTGGAGTCTATAAATTTCTTTGATGGACGTTTTTGGGAATTGGAACATTACTCATTTGATATTGAGTCATACTTCTTATAACCCATTTTAACAATGTAATCATCCACCCAATTGATAGGGTTTTTACCCTCCATTGGAAATGATGCAAATATGTATAGTGTAAAACGGTTCATATAAATTGCAAAGTTGGTTAGTTTTGCATTGACAAATTTACCTTCTTACCAAATAGACTTTTAGCTGTAATGGATGCAAGCACGAATTCCAATAAAGCATATGTTTTTTTTTTTTAAAAGCCCACTGGAATGCAAATTTACTTCTTTTTTATTGATGTACTTTTACATCTTATTATCAATGTAAATATGCATTGGTTTGCCAGTTGTAAATGCAAAAATGTAATGTTTCCAAACATAGGCAAAAGTGAATCAGAGAGCAAATTTACCATGAACTGGGATTTACACTCCATTTGCATCGTTTCCAAACGCAGCCTATAGGTTTTTGAAACACTTGCACTTTTGCATCAACAATCTGGCCATTGCTGCTTCCTATAAATTGTTGAAGAATTGTTTCAGAATTTGGATGGATCTAAATTCTAAAGTGTGAAATAACTTTAATAGGGTTGTCTGATTGTATATTGGATGGGCATAAATGTCATCAAATTGTGTATTTGATGGGTTCTAAAATGTGAAATAACTTTAATAGGGTTGTCAGATTGTATATTGGATGGGCGTAAATGTCGTCTAATTGTGTATTTGATGGGTATGTAACATATATAGACCAAGGCCAAGTTTGGGAGTGCTTAAAAATAAGTTTTTAATCGAATAAAAACTTATTTTAGGCCCAAATTACACTAATAAGTATTTATTTGCATTTGAAAAATAAGCTCCAATTAAGTGATTAGTCTCAATATAAGTACTTATTTGAGAAGACCAAAATTTGAGGTTATTTTTAAGTGCTTATTTCTTTTTGGCCTATCTTATCCGACCACCTCATTTTGGAAACACATATACTACTGTTTAAAATAAATGTTTTTTTTTTCACCCAATGCTCATAAGCACTTATTAGAATAAAAACTTATTTTTAAACACTTATTCAACAAGCACTTATTTTTCAAATAAGTACTCCTAAATTTAGGTGGCATTTGATGGCACTTTTCAGACCTCTGAAGTTTGGAAATGTTGCTTTTCAGATGCTACCTACGTTTGGGTTGGGTTTGACTTTTAGATTTGAAACCCAATTTTAGATCTAAATAGAAAAAAGCCTCCCTAAGTGCTTAACATGCTAAGAGGCATTTCAGACATGGGCGAAAGACAAAAGAGCCCTCATAGAAATTTGAAATGACCCATAATGCCCTTCATATAAGCCACAAATCTAGGTCATTTGACTCCTCCCCTAGTTTGAGAAATGAGATTTGCTGCTGGGAAGCTCTGCTCTCTTCTTCTTCTTCTTCTTCTCTCTATCTCTCTCTCTCCTATCTTCCCGCCACCACCACTGAAACTCACAACAACGGTGGTTCTTTGATCTCTCTCTCTCTCTCTCTCTCTCCTATCTTCATGGTCTTCATTACTATTTTCATTATTATTTTAATTCTTAATAAGTTATTTGTAATTTATAAATTCATATGTATTTTTCAATTTTATTCTTATTTTAATAAATTATTTTTGTATGTTTTATAATTTACTCATATTTTTCAATATTATTTTGAATTTAATAAATTACTTTTATGAAATAATGCAAATTGAACTCAAAATTACCAAATAGTCTATTTTAGGAGTAAAATAGTAAAATCAATGAATTTCAGATGTTGAAGGTTTGATCCAACACAAACAACCTTCTTTATTTAGAGCCTCTAAAAAGTCGAAAAGCAATTGTGTTTCTTTTCAGATTGTAGACACTTTTAATATCTTTTTAGCATTTCAGATTTATCAAATGCCACCTTAGTCTAAATTTAAGTCAGGAGAGTTAATTGATATTCCGTGACATTTATGACTTATCGATCATACATGTCTACAAAGTCACATAAGTAATAGTAGTAATCAAACAAATCAGTGGTAAAACAAGAATCTTATGAAATTAGTTGAACCATGACGATATTCACTTCTTTATACAGTATGAATATGATCCACTACATCTATCTGCGTTCATCTTCTGAAAAGGAGGAATTATTTTTAAGGTTGTGATAGAACGACTATTAATGTTGTTCATGCTGAGGTGGATGAGTAGCAAATTGGCATCATCTTCTTCTCTCCCTTTCGTGCATCGATGATCATGCCTCCGAAGAACGTCTCTGACCATTCTG